AATCCTTACGCTGTCTTAAATTAATCGGTCGATGACGCGTAGAAAACGCGTGTCCCTGAGGTTCCTTGCACAACTGATATCGCCGACCTTTTCCCAACCAGTTACGCAGACACAGTGGGTAAATTGCGCCAAGACCTCTACCACTTAACCACCAATCAGCGCAAAGTTGTTATCCGGCTTCGCCAACTTATATCCGAAGCAAGCAACTCGGACGCACGATATAGCCTGCAATTTATCACAAACCTGGCTATTCAAGAAAACACAAGCATTGAATCTGTAATCCTTGCAGCTGCAGACCGTCCAGTGGCCTCATATCGCGAAATACGAAGAAATAGGCCGAAGAATGAAAATAGAAGAATAAAGAAGACGACAGCAAGCGAGCGAGCGAAGAAGAAAGTATATCACGAAAAAAAGATACGAAGAAGAAAGGCCGAAGGACGCAAAAAGAAGAATAAAGAAGAAGACAGCGAGCGAAGAAGAAAGTAAAGAAAGAGGAGAAATTTAGTAGAAAGTAAGAGAAAAGGAGAAAGAAAAAGAAAAACCCAAAAAACTAAAAAAAGAAACGAACAACAAAACGGACATGGAACAAATACTTCAAACATTACTACAACAAATGAACGCCAAGAACGCATTATCGAAGCAGTCTCGCAGACACAGAATATGCAAGTACAAGCGCTGCAAGCAGCAAATGAACGCGCGGCTCAAACACAAAAAATCAAAGTAGAAGGCGTTACAATATCCAGTATCATGGAAGAATGGATGAGAGCATCAGTCTCTATACTTATCAAGTCAATACCTTTTTCTAGGCAAAGAATCTGAATCCCAGCACGATCCTGCAACACAAAAGCGTTGCATCGCCCTAATCGTAGCCAATTTTCGAGGATTAGCAGCCGCTTGGTATCAAGACTGCTTGCGTACAACACGAAGATCACCCGAATCATTAGTAGAACTAGAAAATGAACTTCGCGAAGAATTCGAACCAGAAGTTTACAAGACCGACTTCATGACCAACTTTACGATATACTACCTCCGTCCAGAAATGCTTGCTCCAATTGGCAAAAATGAAAAATGAACATGATAGAAGTCGAATATTTCGAATCAGAAAACATGCAAGTAGTCAGCAAGTTCTGTGCGAACCAATGAAATTGAATCCCACCAAAACAGACAACTCCGAGAACTTCGGTGCCGAAACTAACATTTCATACTGTATCCAAGAGAACATCTATGAACGGATCGTATCCGGATGGATGTGGCCAAGCTTGAGCATCAAGATCCCAAAATGCGCGCAAAAGACTTGACCAACACGGATCGCAACGCCATCTTGCTTCTGGAACTTGTACAAGAAAACAATAAACTGCCACACGGGGCTCATGCCTCAGTGGCTGAGATCTTTGGAGTAGTTAGAAGCACTGTGCGACGAATCTGGGTTCGTGCCAATGTCAACTTGTTGGACAAGAGACGACCTTGCAATGACGTAGCTTCTCGGAAAAAAGGAAACTGTGGGCGTAACCTAAAGCATCAAGGAGTAGCTGACCGTTTGCGTCGCATTGTATCTACGTCAAGTACTCGAGCACGGTGAAGCCACAGTTGACGGATGCCAACAAGGCCGTCCGACTCCAGTGGGCCATAGAGCACGTCCGGTCAGCTGCCCCGGGGACATACACCTTTGATCCCCTGTACGACTCTGTGCATGTGGACGAGAAATGGTTCTTTGCAACTCGGGTCAAGCAGACTTACTACCTCGCTCCAGGGGAGAAGCCACCGCATAGGACGTGCAAATCGAAGCGCTTCATCAAGAAAGTCATGTTCCTTTCGGCAGTGGCACGACCGCGTTGGAATGATGAATCAGGTGAGTGGTTCGACGGCAAGATTGGCACTTGGCATTTCACAGAGCTCGTGCCTGCTGAACGTTCCAGTCGCAACAGACCAGCGGGCACTCTCGTCACAACTCCTGTTGCTGTTACTCGTCCTGTCTACAAGGACATGTTGGTCAAGCACGTCATACCGGCGATCAAGACGAAGTGGCCTAAAGGGGCCTCCCGAAGAGTCTTTCTTCAACAGGACTTTGCCAAACCTCACGTGGCTCCAACCGATGACGATATCATTGAAGCGTGCAGCAGCGGTGGTTGGGCCATGGAGTTGAAGTTCCAGCCACCAAATTCACCCGACCTCAACGTCCTGGATCTGGGATTTTTCCGTTCTATTCAAACCATTCAAGAAGAAAACTTCTCCCGAAGTGTTGACGACATCATTGCTGCGACGGACAATGCATGGCGACGTGTGGACATGATGACCCTCAACTCCAATTTCTTGACCCTCCAGTGCTGCATGCTCGAAATCATTCGGTTTGCAGGTTGCAACAGCTACAAGATTCCCCATATGCGCAAGAATGTTCTTTCTGCCTCGGGTCGGTTGCCTGAAAGTGTCATGGCTGATGGTGATGTCATTGATTATGGGTTTAGTTTGCTTTGTGCGACTGTCATGGAAGAAAAGTTTCTCCAATTGGCTGCTGAAGTTTCGGAGTCACTAGACATGGCCGACTTCAGCTCTGAAATGGAGAAACTTTCCGTTGATGGCGATCTTGACGAGGAAGGAGACAATGCACTTGATGAACTCGATGCTGAGTTGATCCGTCGCCTTGAAAATGTATTGTGAAAAATATACATTCAAATTTTGTATGGAATAGTTTATTCCATACAAAATTTGAATGTATATTTTTCACACGTTAAGACACCACAGATTTCAAGCATCACTCAATGAAATAAAGGTTGTATTTCAATATGTTGCTATCTACGTCATCGCCAAGGTCACCGCAATGTCCGTGACTCAAAGATAGTTCACGAAACCAAAAACTCGCGATCAAGGCCAAGTGCAACATTTCTGATCCAGAGAGTGTGCAAAATGATAAGAACAAAGTCACTTCGCCTCATAACATATCAACGACGACACAATTTCATCAAAAACCAACTACTAGTTGTTAATAGGCTTTCCTCATGACTTCATCACAGCAATGCAGCGGGTCTTCATGCTGCGAATAGGCTTTCCAGGTACTCCGGATCCAAGGCATTCCAGTGCATCAGTATCGCATTTTTCAGCGCCTCTGTTGAGGAATAATACTGTTTGCCATATATAACCATAGACACGTTGGCAAAGGTACCCCCACACGTTCTCAATTGGATTGAGATCAGGGGAAAGCGCAGGCCACTCCATCATGATGATCCCATTCTCGTTAAGAAACTCCTTCGACGAGTGAATGGACGCATTGTCATGCTGAAAGACGAACGAATCCATAAAGCGGGCATGGGCTGAGGGCAGCATATAATCCGAAATTGTTATAATGTATGCTGACGAGTATTGGCGACCTTCTAAGAAGGCCAACTCGGTTTTGCCGTCGGCCCAAATCGCGCCCCACACCATGACGGATCCACCACCATTTTGGTGGCTAAAAACAACCTTTTTATCTCGACCGATGCAATGCCAATACGACTTGAGTCCATCAGGGCCATCAAGATTCCATTTCTTCTCATCGGAGAAGATTACACGACTCCAAGCGTCCCATCCCATGTCAATGTTGCGCTCGGCCCATAAAACACGGTTTTCCATGTGTTTTGCCTTGAGTTGGGGCTTCTTGTTCATCTTGATGTACTTAAAACGGGTGGATGAGTTTATGACTCGCGTGATTGTCGTACGGGAGACGTCAAGGTCGAGGTCGCTCTTGAGTTGTGCGCAACTTCGCGGCGATTTGGTCACAGCAGCGAAAAGGTGCCGTAGATCACGGTCACTTAGCTTCGAAGGACGGCCACCAGAGAAGCGTTTGCCATAGGCATGTGGGTCGCGCAAGTAGTTGTAAACGACAGTTCGGCTTCGATTGATAAACTTAGCTGTCTTGGTAACGCTAAGGGTGAATTCAATGCACACATCAATCTTCCCGCACTCAAACTCCGTCAGCTGTGCTCCCAGTCCCATGAGACCACAGAGATGTCTTCTGTGGCCTCAGAATGCAAAGTGATGTGCCATCCTTGGCAGGGCCACGTGCACTTCGTTTGAATTCGTGTTGAGCGGGAAGATTTCTAACATGTTTTTAACGTTTTGCACACGTATTAAAACAGACTTGTATAAATATCTCCTGTAGTTTATATCCAAATTGTGTTATTTTGGTCTCGCTGTGCTTTGCTATTCATGGTGAATCAAACACTACCTTTAGAATTGGATGAACTTCAATATTCAATGAGATAGCTCAAATATACTTGGTGTCTTAACCTTTTGCATCAGACTGTATTACACAGGCCTGGTGGGTGGTGCCAGTAGTTCTGGCACCGTTCGAACCATCCAAATTTGATAACTTTTCACGAAGTAACACAGCTTCTGGTCACGGAGACGTGAAGTTTCGTAATGCGTATGCGAATTCTCTTGATGTACTTGGCGGCTCACAGTGCGCATGGTTCACTTCGACCTCGACGGTGGTTTCATTTTACGTAGTTTCAGCTATAAATCGTTTTTAATCGTTTTTCACTTTTTCATGAAGAAATATCGACTGATACATACATGTACTACGTAGTACAAGCGAAAATGACGTTAAAATTCATGTCAACCCGAATGTTTTCATGCAATCAGAACAAATACGTGGGTCAGGGAATTGGTACGCCAGTTCAAAACAAGGCAGGAACAGTGCACATCATGACAACGAAAGCAACCAATGACGCGGCGGTGGGTGTCACGTGCGTCTGAAGACCTGTTTCTAACTCGAGGGTGTAGAAGTGGATCGAAGCGGGACGACAGTGGGTCGCTTGGGACGTGAACGAAGGCACGAAGGCAACCATCCAAGCCCTCGTCGATGCTGGAAACGCGACTGTTCTGCGCCAAATGCTTGAAAAGCGTTTGGAGTTTGGTACGGCAGGTTTGCGTGCGGCTATGGGGCCGGGAACTGTGTGCATGAACGACCTGGTGATCATCCAAACCATGCAGGTGCAACGAATCATCGGGCGTGTCATGGGATAATGTCATTGAATCGATGCGCCAGGGATTAGTTGCGTACTTGCAAGATATGTACGGCATCGAAGCTGTGCAAAGTCGCGGTATCGTCTTGGGTTACGATCACCGCCAATTTGGCACGTTGAACTCGAAGCAGTTTGCAGCCTACAGCGCGGCGGTAGCGGTCTCCCGCGGCATCAAAGTGTACCTGTACGAAGGGTTCGTAGCCACGCCATTGGTGGTAAGGTGCATTGACTTCCCTCAACAGTAGAACATAATACGATGAGTAGCCGTTTGCCGTGGACCGACTGGGGTGCGTTGCGGGCATCATGGTGACGGCGTCACACAACCCGAAAGCGGACAACGGGTACAAGGTATACGGCGCCAACGGATGCCAGATCATTCCGCCGCACGACGAGCACATTGCAGCTGCGATTTTGAACCATCTTTCTCCTTGGCACACCTACGACATTTCGAACGTACACGCACTGCAGTGTGAGGCACAATTGACACCTGGTTTGTAGATTCGCAGCCAGACGGAAGACCCCACCGAGTCGATGATAGCGCAATACTTTGAGGCGATGAAACCCCTGGCGCGGTTCCCCCACGACAATGCCAACCCTGCCTATCACATCAAGGTTGCGTACACGGCCATGCACGGAGTAGGGCTCAAGTTCACGACTCGGTCCTTCGAGACGTTCAACTTGCCCAAATTCTATCCCGTGGAGGCCCAAGTGCAACCCGACCCTGACTTCCCCACCGTATGTCCTGATTGCCATGGAGACCCCGAAACCCCGAAACCCCGAAATCGCGTTTAATCCTTGAAACTAGGTGGCGTTTCCAAACCCCGAGGAAGGCCAAGGGGCTCTCAAACTAGCGTTCGAGACAGCAGCCAAGTACGTCTTCACATCATTGTCGTGGGTGTATATGACTAGTACAAATCTAGACATGGTTGCTCCCTCATTCTAGCCAACGACCCTGACGCTGATCGACTTGCGGTCGCTGAACTGTTGCCTTCTGGCGAGTGGCACCTGTTCACGGGCAATGAGATCGGTACGACAAGGAGTTTTCGCAAAGGTGGAGTACTAAATGGACGGAAAGGGACCCTGCTGGGACACTGGGAGTACACGCAACACATGAAGCAGCACCCGGATGCAGACAAGAGCAAGCTCTATGTTGTGGCCAGCACCGTTTCGTCCAAGATGCTGAGGACGATTGCGCGACGAGAAGGGTTCAATTTTGTAGAGACTCTTACTGGGTGCGATCGAGATTTCTCGTCCACGATTAATGATGTTGTAGGTTTAAGTGGATGGGCAACGAAACGCAAAAGCTGAGGGATGAAGGCAAGACTGTCCTGTTTGCGTTCGAAGAAGCGATCGGGTTCTGCGTCGGCAATGTAGTCAAAGACAAAGACGGTGATATCCCTACCTCTGTACCTCGTAGGGTGTTCAGCTGAGGAAGGAATTCTTTCGCAGGTGTGTGCGCGGCTGCGGTCTTTGCCGAAATGGCCCAACAACTTAAGAAACAAGGCATGACGGTGCACGCGCATCTGCAGCAGTTGTACGCGACGTACGGCCATTTTGTGACGCAGAACCACTACGTCAAGTGCTACGACCCAGCAACGATCCAAAGCATCTTCAAGCGCCTTCGCAATGAAGGCCACTACTGGCATGCAGTCGGCAACTACGCTATTCAATCTATTCGAGACCTCACCACTGGTTTCGACAGCGCCCAGCCTGACTACAGCGCGACCTTGCCCGTGTCTGCAACCACGGAAATGATCACGTATTCGTTCGTGAACGGTGTCGTAGCCACGCTGCGTACGAGTGGGACGGAGCCGAAGCTCAAGTATTACGTCGAGTCACCGGGAGGTGCGGGGTTGTCTCGCCAGCAAGTTACGGAAGCTCTTCGTGTTCAAGTCGCGGCCATTGTCAACGAAATGCTGCAACCCGAACTCAACCACCTGGAGCGCCCCTAACACCCTTGATGACAACAGCATGTTTCAATTATCACAATGCCTGGATGGTATTGACTACACTGGCCTCGACGAGTGCCATGCTTTGGCTGAATGCCTCTGCGCCAACCATTTGGGCGCACTGGTTGAGCTGCGCACACACGTATTGTTTGATGTAAGGGATTGTAGGGGGAAGCAGCTTGGTTTTTTGAGTCAAGAGCAAACTGCGGCGGGTTGTGGCCAGGTCGTCGTCGTTCACGTCCAACGGATCGGCTTCGCCCACAACCTCGACGCATGCTTCGAGAATAAGGCCCATACGCTCGAGCACCGCCGGCGTCACCGTCAGGAACGAGCACAGTGAGGAGACCCAGATGCGCCGTCTGACAGGGCCAACCGCTGTGAACGCGACAGAGAAGAAGAACTGCAGCATGGTATCCAAAAACAAAGAGACGTGGTCCGTGGGAACGACAGTGAAGAAGACCGCTGGGGCGTGCAGCGACGCCGCGGCCAGTGTCGACAAATATGACACCACGACAAGCTCCTTCTCTTGTCGAGGCTGTTCTTGGACAATGGCCCACAACGCAGCCAGGACATCTGGACCATATGTGAGCGGGAGAAGGGTTTGACTTTGGTGTGTGCTTACCTTGGAGGGGCATGACCGAATCTGGAGGGAGAAGCTGAAGCAGTCGATCGACAACCCGGCAGATCTATTTGACAAAATTACAATGTCGAACACGTGCGTGGCTTACCACATGGCTGATCTCGGGCTTGACCTCCCCCACGAACGACCGAACGAGTCGCGACACGTCCAGGCCATATGCAGACCAGAATGTCGTCGTCCCAAGGATTGCGTAATTCTCGAGCAGCATCAGACCAGACTGAACGTGTTCGGTGTCGCGCGACAGAGTCTGGACGATGTTGGCAAACACATCATGCAGTGGCGGTGTGTACGCATCCACGACCTGTCCGAACGAGTTGCAACATGCAAAAGAGACGATCGCATACCTCTGTGAGTCGAATCCACAGCGCAAGGCCTTGGTCCATCAGGTACACCGAGTCGGGCTGGTTGGGGTTCGTCGCGAACGACACGACCGACAGCACCATATTCTGCAGCTCTACATCTACACAGGGTTACTGTGGGATCGACCACTCGAGAACCGTACCAGCCACGTCTTGCCAATCGATCTCCATGATGCGCGTCAACAGCGACAGAATCTTTCCACGCAAGAGATTGGCGTCGACTGAACCGGCCGCTTCCCAAATGGCCGGCAGGGGATTCACGACTTGGATGATGCACGGACCCATGGCACTGCCACACACGTGGACAATGGCTTCAACGCATCTGGACAACGATGAGTTGTTGCTCGGACAGGCGCAGTACCTACCCCAGAACCTTCAAACGAGTGTCGGTTGTGACGACAGCAGGGTCGCCGAAGAAGGTGTACAAGCACCCGATGGCGGATGGAAGGAACGGAACAAACGTGGCTTGGTCGAAGCCCCAGTCGTTCACGAGCGACTCAAGGGTTTGAACGGCCGCCAGTTTCACACATGTATCTGACTTGGGCGCGGAGAGGAGTTGGAGCAATGCTTCGTAAAGCGGGATGCGGACTTGGTTGGACAGCTGCGCGAGCCAGCATCCGATGAGCCACACGATGCGCCGCGGGAGAACTGGCACGCCAGAGACAGTTTGGCTAATTGGAGACTGCAGGTACGGCACCAAGGTGTGCAGAAACCACGGCTCAAAGTCGAAGCTCTCGTGGAGATCGTACGACGAGAGCCCGGCGGCCAAGAGCACGGCGTCTGCGCGGAGGATGTCATCTTGCACTGGTGTGGGGCTTGCCATCCACGCTGATGTCGACTGCATCATGCGCAGGATGCATGGAGTCAGCGCATCGCGATGGGTTTGCAAGAGCGAGAGATACAACATCTCTGCGCACGCTCGCACTGAGTCTTCGGACGTCATCGATTCCTGCAGGGTCGAGTACCCTTCGGGGTCTTCTTGCTACATCAGAATGTCTTCTGGAGTGAGTCGCATATACCGGACAACCACAAGCTCGACAAAGGTCGAGAGCAATGCCATGTCGGTCCTGTCACCGTCAGGATGAAGCTGTGGAACACGTCCATGGAAACTTTCTTACGCAAACGCGCCAATTTGAGCCTTGCATTCATCGACCATGGCGTCGTTTAGCTCGACGTCGCCGGTGGTCGTAATGACGGTTCGACTCGTTGAGTGCGCGGAAGGGCTTTGCTGGTAAAGGAGGCAGCCGACGACATTGGTAAAATACGAGAGCAGGTGCACGACGAGCTTGTCCGGTGACGGCGTGGGGTGAGTCAACTCTGCGTAGAAGAGTTGCAAAAAGTAGCCTACCAGAGTTCCCATTGCAATGAATTCCCTCGAGCAACAATGGAATACGTACCCAAGTACGCTCGGAACTCAATGGGGTGAGCTTTTTGCACTGCCACGACCAAGCCAGCGCACGAAACGCGGATCTTCTGCAGAGATTCGATACCCGGCGCGTCGGGGGGCAGACTGCTTCGGGGTTACTAGGTCGACTAAATGATGCAACATACCTGTGAATGTACGACGTGAGGGCGCGAAAGGTCTCGAAGTAGTTGGAAAAGATGAATGGAATGACATCCAGTGGCATGAGCACTTTAAAGCCGTGGACGACGAGGTGATGGAGAACTTTGGTAGTGCTTAGGACGTTGTCGACGACGTCGAGGTTGCCGGAGGACAGCTCCGTCACCTGGGCCTTCCAAACGGCAGCAAGGAACGGAGTCACGGCGACGCTCATCTCATTGAAGATCACGCGGTGCGCCATCAGACGCCGGGACGCGAGTTCCTTGACCACAGACTTGAGGACTCTCAAGGCACGAGTCTAGAACGATATGTGAACACGGGTTGCAGGAGAGGAAGGTCTACCTGTTGGACATGGGACCCTTGTTGGATGTTATCGCGGAGGAGGGAGAAGAGATCTGGCCACTCTTTGGGGAAATCGGACCGGGCGATACGCGCGACGGTGACCTGTCGTATGTGTCGAGTTAGATGAATGCAATCATAAAGATATCATGTACCGCAAGTTGCGTTGCAATGGCAGTATTCGATTCTTCCATGTGTCGCAGCAGTCCCCGTCGAATCTCGTCCTTTTCCTCGGCAGAGATGACATACTGACGCGAGCCACGTCCCACCCAAGATGCGGATACAGCGTTCTTCAATGACAAGGCTGCCATGAGGCGGACTGGAGGTTGCAATGGGAATTGCGCTTCGTTGAGAACCTGCAGACAGAGCTGCGCGAAGCCAGGAATCTTCATACATTGCTGCAGAGTCGCTTCACCTGCAGCTCGGACGTCGCTTTGACTGCATAAAGCCTGTTCCATAGTCGTGATAATGTCCTGGGCGTGGCCTAGGCCGAGGATCGGAGGCAACGACGTCGACATAGTGCCCTGTGGTTTGGATAATGGAGTTGTGCACCATCAGCTCAACCGGATACGGCAAGTATCACGTCCACTGTAGCACTTATATAAGGGAAACTGAGGGGTATTATCCGGTTGACTGTTCAAGATGCCGGATACGCACAGCAGTTGATTGGTTTCAGTATTTATACAAGGGAATTTCACATGCCTCATATCACATGAAGAGCATCTTCAGGAGAGCAATGAGCAACTTCATGGTGACAACGTTCCAGGCGTCGGACCTGCAGCGCTTGCAGAGCCAACGGGCTGGCGAAACGCGACTGGGCCAGGCCCTTCGGTTCATTCACCCTGAACTTCCTCTCCCCCAAGGTCTTCATGAGGCCAAAGCCCAGGGTGTGAAGTACGTCATCGTTGGCGTTCCTGAAGATGTGGGGCCACGCGCAAATTTTGGCAACGGTGGGGCCGCCCTTGGCTTTCAATCGTTCTTGGGGCGCTTCTTGAATGTTCAAGCGAATCGGTTCGTGAAGGGGTCTGAGATCTTGTTGCTCGGCGAAGTCAACTTGGCGGACATACAAAACAAGGCAGCGTCCTTGAGCGCAAGCGATGAAGCGCAGCTCGCGGAGCTTCGCGCGTACGTCCAAATGATCGACGAAAGAGTGAGTGCTGTCCTAAAGCAAGTGTTTGACGCAAACCTCATTCCTATCGTCATCGGTGGAGGGCACAACAACGCCTACCCCATCCTTCAAGCGCTGTCTCAAAGTCGCGGCAGTGGTGTGGACTGCATCAACCTGGACCCGCACTGCGATTTCCGCCTTCGGGAAGGCCGCCACAGTGGAAACGGGTTCAGCTACGCCCACGAGGCCAAATACTTGAGCACGTACTTTGTTCTGGGGCTCCACGAGGTCAAGAACGCCCAGAGTGCGTTGGACCAAATGGCTCAGGCTGGCGCCGGGTTCACTTCCTACCAAGACATTTTCATCCGCCGACAAACTACTTTCACGCAAGCTGTAGACAAGGCAATCACATTCATCGGCGGTGCCGAAGCTTCCAAGCCAGTGGGTCTCGAAGTAGACACGGACAGCATCAGCGGCATGCCAGTGAGCGCCATGACCAACTGCGGTATCTCAGTCTCGGACGCCGAGCATTACGTGTACAAGGTGGCCTCCGAGCTCAAGAACCGAGTGGCGTATCTGCATTTGGCAGAGGCGGCCCCTGGACAGCATCCTGCAGGTGTCGGTGCGGGAAAGAGCGAGGCGGGCCAAATCCTCACGGCGCTCGTGTTGGCGTTTGTGCAGAACAACTAACGAGGCAAAATCATGGTTCTTTTTCTAAAAGTACGCGTCCTGGAGGGTCGATGGAGCGTCAGGTTGAGTGGATTTCGACGGCGGGTGGGCTTGCACGGGGCGAATCGACAACGATGACGAGACAGCGTGCGAGATGGAGGCTGCAAACAAAAATGAATGGCCAGGAAGTGTCGAGACGGATGCTACCTGAGAGGTCGAAGAGAGGCACGAACGGTTCGTCCTTAGACGGAGTCCCATCAAACACGGGCGACACTCCCTGCGTGAGCTGTTCCAACACGACGTCGTCCGTCGCCAACGGAACTGGCCCAAGTCGCTTTACGTTGAGAAGTCGGAGCTTCCCCCATGACAGCGCGCGGAAGGTAACCTTAGGGTGCAGCCAAATGGGCAAGTCAAGTTGGGGATGCACCACGATTTCGACAGAGCTTGTCGGATGTTGGATGAGCTGCGGGGCGTAAGGGCGACGGGATGGTTGGTGAGGGTCGAGCTCGCGCTGCTTGGCAACCTCTAGATGAAGCGACAGGACCAGCCATGGCTTGGGAACGTCGACTAATGTGCTGCGGGGCTGGACCGAGAGCGCCTTAAGAGTCCCACACGACGCGACGAAAAGGAGCTGCCGATCCCACTGGCAGCTGACCAGGCCTCCATCCTCTGTGGAGTGCCGAAGTCTCGCCAAGGGCTGCAGAGTCTCCGTGAGTGCTCTAGTCGAAGCGCCGACCTGGAAAGCTTTTGCTTGGTTCTCATCCGCAATGCTGGCTTTGGCGACAGACAAGTGCGTGGTATTGTTCAAATCTACCGCGTGGTGTGTGTGGCCGCCGATAGCTCCGCCCTCCGGACGAATCGCATAGCTACGCAAAAGCAAACATGGTTGACGACGTTGTGAGGGAGGAGGTGAAGAGATACATGTGGGTGGTGCCTCGACTGGTTGTGATAGCAATCCACTTCGAGTCCATGGAAGTCGTAATGTGACGGATCCGGGCGTGGGTGATGCCACGGTGCAGTCGGTAGAGGAGCGCATTGTCTTGCACACGGTGGACGTGGAGGGTCTGGCCTTTGTCAGAGGACGAGATCACCAGCATGCCGGACGGATTGAACGCGAGCGATGTGATTGCCGATGCATGCGCGACAAAGGACGCAATACGTGCTTGGGAAACGCAGTCTTGGACGTCAATGTGTCCAGTGTCGCTGTCGGCAGAAGCCCTTCGTGCAACCTGCAAGGACATGTAAAAAAAACGTGAGGAGGCATCGCTTGGTTTCATACCTTGGACAGGTAGTAGAGCCCCGATGCGACCCCCTGCGCAATGTCGGTGAGGGAATAGTCGTCCTTGGTGGGAGTTGCAACTGTAGCAGCTTCTGTGTGCAGAGAAGGATATGCCAGCCATCTCGTCCCCAGCGCCATGGCATCCGATGTAATTGTAATCGTTCCTATGTGGACAGATCAACAAGGTCGTGATTTGGATGACGTACGGAGGACAGCGTAGTTGGCGCTGCGATTCAACAGCCGGACCGTGTGGTGGGTTAAGACTGCTACCACCGACGTATTCACTTGAACGTCAAGGATGTCCGCAACAGGTGAAGGAAATGAAATGTCGTGGAGGATCCTAGAGTCGAATGAGGTCATCATGAATCAGCAAGAGGCATCATACCGCTCCTCTTCCAGAGAGTATACGCTAAGCCTCAATGTCACGAGCAGTACATTTTGCAGGCGCCCACTCCCTACATCATGCACGTGTCAATTCTGGCATCCAAGTCACTGCAACCTGCGTCGATGAACCGCGCCATACGCACAGCGTCGCCTTCCGTGGAGTGCTTTCGTCCGATCTGTGCATATTGCGCGTGAAGTTTGGTGGATTTGTCTTGAGCAATGACATGGATGTCAGGTTTACCGCTTCCATTGTGCTGGTATCGTAAACAGAGAACGCTCCAGGAGTGGCTTGGAGCAGCAACGTCGTGGCGGTGTGTGGGACTTGGTAGAACTCCAAGCATGTGACTTGGATCGGGGATGCAGACGATGCTCGAGACGGGGACGGGAAGATGTACGACGTCCAGTCGTCGAGCGCTCCCGGGTTGGTATTGATGGCGGCCTCCATCGAGCCTTCGCCACTCTATCGTTGGATTCCGAAATCTCGCCGACCATCATTCTCGATTCCGACCGTTTCAGAAAGACGCCGAGATGGGCACAGGGCCGTCGGGGCTGCCGTCGCGGGGAAAGCTGCGGTAAGTGTGCTCTTCTTGACACTGAGGATATGGAACGGTTATTTTGTAGGAATATTATCCTGCTTCGACTTCACCACTTGCTCGTGGATCGTCAGGAATGCCTCGAGTCGTGGCTCGTGCACGCATTTCAGAAGCTAGACCTTGTACACCCCGACCGACTTGACGAACCAGGGCTCACAGCACGCTCGTAGAGCAACATGGGCTACGTTCCTTTGGACGCTATCTTCTCCATAGTCGAAAGCATGGGGGGAAGTGGCTCAGGCAAGAAGACTGTTCCTGTCACGAGGGAGGAATGTCGCCGAGTTGCTACTGCATTTGACTTTGATGCGTACGACGCAATGCAGTCGCGTTGCTTGACGTGCTCTCGTTAGAAATGGACGGTTCCATTACATGCGATTCATTTGGTTCGTGCTGCCTCCTGGGAAGATGTTCATCAGGGAAGAGAAGGCGGTGGGAATCCACGGCATCTTCCACACTTCCAGAGGAACATGGGACGTCGGCCAATTGCCAATCACCATCAAACGCCTCGAGATGAACCAGCAGATGCTCGAGCTTGTGGGTGTTTCCGTCGCTGCCTTGAACTGAGCGTCGTAGGTAGGTCGACGACCTCCGCATTCAAATATCATTGCTCGCAACGCTGGCCCACCCAAACCTGCTGCGATACGTCGGCAGTACCATGTCCGACTTGACGTTATGGGTCTGTCAAGAGTGGAGCGAGGCTTCCTCCATACGCGTACGTGGATAAGAAGGACGTATCATGGACCCAACACTGCTGCTGAACATGCAGACCATTCTGGGTGCGTTCGGCCGCATGAGCGAGCCAACGATTCGGCGGTACATCGTCCAAGTCGTCGAGGGCCTCCAGTTTCTGCATGCAAATAGCGTTCTACACCGGTATAGCTGCTGTACAATGCAGACACTGATCAATGCTGCAGGGAGATTCACGGTATGATGTCTCATGACCTGGTCGAATCCTAACGAGCGGCGAGAAGGCGAGTCAACTCGTATCGACACGGCGGGATTGGTCAAGATGGGGGTGCCTTACCACTCTCGACTGACATGGTCGCACTGACGATTGCGCGAGTAGGAGTTCGCAGTCGGCCCATCCCTTCGAGCATTGAACGCTGGATCCCACAATTTCAACGACACTCTCTATGCAAAGTTCCCCGTGCGTTGCCTTTGTGTCTGTGCAACCGCTCACGAAACGTAGCCGCCTGAGCTCAAGCAAAGTTCAAGTGCGTGGGGCACCAAGGCCGACGTGTGGAGCGTGGGGTTGCTGGCGCTCGAGGTGGGCCTTCGCTCGCAACTCTAGCCTCGACAAGGGTAGCCGTAGATGCTGTTTGGGACGGCGATTTTGAACGCGCCCATGTCAACCCAGCCACCCATGCCCGAGACAGTGTCTCCAGCATTTCGGGCGTTTTTAGTGCACTGCTTCGAGGTACGAATTCGAATGTAAATGGGTTGGTGAGTTGTCGAGCTGTAGGTGAACCCTCGGGACCGCGCAACGGCAGAAGAGCTGACGCTGCACCCGTTCTTTCAAACGGAAGAGGACTCGAGTTGCATGTTTTCGGAGGTCTCCCACTCGACGATGAAGATGGTTCAGAGCGCCATGCCGACGTTCTTCGACTCGTCATGATGCCCTTGTCACACGGAGACACTCGGCGCGTGTTGATAAATAATACGAGCTATTCCAAAGTAGGCTTGGACTGGCGAAGCTGGTTGAGCCAGGCGAGGACTTTGGCCGCGGACGGTCGGTCGTCTGGGTTGTACGCCAAGCATCTCTGGGCAATGAGGTAGATGCAGGGCGGACATGATCGCGTGAACTCTGGCTTGAGTTCACCTGCGACCACAAGCATCGCGATGCGGGCTTTCGCGACATCGACGGCCTTGGACGAGTCGTCGATGGACTGTCGACGGCGGACGGACGAATACGGCACTTCCAGCGTGTCCATTTCAGAAAGCAGCACCCCGAGCGAGTACATGTCTGCCTTGGCAGAGTACCGCACGCCCTTGAGAATCTCTGGCGCGATCCACGCCACCGTTCCAATCTCGGCCGTCATCGTTTCGTCACCGTCGTTCGTGCAAGACCGCGACGTCCCAAAGTCGGTCAACTTGGCCTTGTAGGAAGGACCGAGCATCACGTTCTTTGCCTTGAGATCCCGATGAATGATATCTTGACTGTGGAGGTACGCCAACGCTAGCACAACATCCCGCAGGAGCCGCTCCTTGGACACTTGGCAAGACACATCCAAGAGGCCTGCCGACGGATCCGTCGGTCGTGCCACATCCGCTGCGGTCGATTCGACGGACCAATTCAAGCGGAAGTGCGCCGCAATGTTCCACGGAAGGGCATGCGACCGGCGGTCTTGCTGCAGCAGTGTCCACAGGTCGCCGTGAGACATGTACTCGTTCACCATCGATAAGTTAAGCAGACTCGTCCACGTGTAGCCGTAGAAAGCCACGATATTGGGATGCTGCAGCCGACTGTTGAGCCGGATTTCGTCCATAAAGTCCTCGATGTTGTGAATGTGGGCTAGTTTCTCCGGGAGCAGCCGCTTCATTGCAACTTGGACGGCCGGCCCTTTGTCTGGCTTCCACGTACCCAGGTAGACAACGCCGTAGCCACCGCGAGCAAGCAGTCGCTCTCTCGACACTGCTGCCGACGGGATGCGGAACGCTATGCACATGCTCAGCCATCGAACGGGACAGTGCACGTACGGATGAAGGTCGGGTCGAATCGAATGTCGTTAAAGAGTTCGGTGCTGTCAACCAGAGTCGGGCGATTGCCGGGGGTTCCTTCGCGGTGCCACACTTGGTCTTCATTCAACCGTACCCTGCGCTTCCACTCCAACCAGACGGCGACGGACGCGATGACGAGGGCCGCACAGAACACGACAATCGAAATGTACAGCGTCCCAAGACGGGAATCTTCCTGTTTGATGGGGAATAGCAATTCATCTGCAGCAGTGTCCAGCACTATATAGACGGGAAGGGACCCCGCCGAGTCGCAGGACCGACCAGAGCACTCCAGAAGAGGATACGAAGCATTTGCATATGGACACATGGCCGGGTCGTTGATGCGTCCATACGTTTTAAAGTGATCAAGCATTTTCTTGGTGGCAGTGATTCGTTTCAGCGGGTTGCGACCGATGCACCTACACGTCGATCCAGGAGGGGTCCATAAGCCATTCGGTCTTACAGGTGCTGCAAGGTCGGGGTGAAGCGAAGGAACAAGACTTGAATGTTGTTGCCGTCCAGGTACCTGCCACACACCTCATCAGGGAAATGGGATGACGAGGGACCACACACAGAGTCGTCAAAAGAGGCGGCCATTTCACTTTGGTTGTGTCAGAGATATTGTTGGCCGAGAGGTCCCTGTCTCGTGCGGTGTAGAGGCTGCTCGACAGGCGAGGTCAACACGTACATCCGTTTGAGTGGGGCGGTCGAAGGGAACGAGAGATCCATCGACAGCGCATTGCCAGACAAGTTTCTAGCCACAGCAATCAGCTCTCGTCGCGTCGTTTGTCGTACAAGGTTTCTAACGCCGGGGGGAGACTCAAGTTGGCCAGGGATGAGATGCGGTTGAAGCTTAAGTTGAGTGTCTTGAGCGACATGGTTTGACCCAGATGAACTGCGTTGTTGCGAATATTGTTCGAGTGCAAGCTCCTGCCAAACGTCAGGAGAGCAGGGTCGAGTTGACGAGGTCGTACAGATTCCGAAGTTGATGGGGAAACGTGATGCTCTGAATCGATGAAATGTTGTTGTTGTGGAGGATCCTAAACCAGGCGTGAGCATGGCGCGATGTAGAAAGGTGGGGCATACAGATCGAGAATTGGAAGCTGGGTCTCGTCAACGTCGAATGGGTCGATGTCCAAGACGTTGCCAAGGCGAGAGATGCCGAGATGTGTGAGGTAGCTAGAGTAATCCGTGACTCGATCGCATGAAACACGGAACGAACATGATGGACGAGTCCACCGGAAGCGATTCGAGCACGTCGACGGACGTAATGTTGACGAGGGATCCATCAAACGAATACGAAGGAAAGGTGCCACTCGGGGTCGGTCGAGCTCCTGGAAGGTAGTATTGGTCCATGGCAGCTATGCAAGATCTGTCGGGCATCCAAATGCACATCTTGGCGTGCTGCGTTGACTGTCTATTCTTGTCGATGCGGGGCGGGAACAACACATCATCGCAGTCCGTCGTGAGTGTTGGGACACCGACACCTCGAGGGACTCTGGTGCCATTGACTGTGCCAAACACGGGTTCCTTCATGGACGAGGCGCGTATACACTCCTGTGCGAGGAGCAGAAGGAGCGTGGCCTTGCTAGGCCGCATCATATAGGTTGGTCGGGCGGTCCAGATGTGCCACTTGGGCACTCATCACGATCCCATCAGTAGAATCGTAGTTTATACTTTGCGTTTGTATACCATCTCAAGTCATGTCGCATGGATGACACTGTACAACACGATTCCAACGTATTCCCTTCTTCATGGCGCCGATTGCAACGTCCCCAGTTCGTTGGCCTCTGGTGTGCATGGAATACGTTCGTGCATCGCCAAGGCCCCTCCTTCCTGCATCAAGCGCCCGTCTGCATGCCCCCACTCCGTCCGACGGACTCTTCACACACCCTCCTTGCATGGGACACTTGTGAGACACCCAACGTGCCTGCCAAGATTCACCGGATAAATCATCCGGATCGTGCTGTGCATCTGGTAGGAGGTGATATAGTAATACTAAGTTGGGACTGGGGTTGTCGTCGCGTCCGTCAAAGTTTGTTCGACGACGTGGACATGCTCCGACGGATGAATTCACGTCGCTTGGCAGGAGAATGACGTCTTCTTGATGGTGGCCGGGTTGATGAGAGGTGCAAGTAGTCGGGACGAAAGTTTGCTTGGATGGCTCTCCCATTCCAATCCAGCGTACAGCAGTCGATGTCGAGACAGCATCTCGAATCGATAGGATTCGGTCGTTCAGGTGATGGAACGGATTCCGACGGCGTTTGGATGGAAACAGAAGAGGAAGCGGCAATTCGGACGAAGTAGGGAATGACAACTCTGTGATTACATCTCTCCTTGGTTCATGAACAAATCCGTGTACCCGCAGTCAGCGAGAATTCCGGGACCGCCCTGTCCATCGCTTGTGGCAAAGTTCAAGACACAGCGACACTGTCCCGTCGAAGGTTCTACACCATCCCCCCGAATCTATACCTTCATGATTTAGGGAATTGGAACTCACCGCAGGATCCACGGCCATTGCACTCGATATCTTCTGTCGTGCCAGGTTTAGAACGAACAACAAACACCATGACTCCCGCCCCTGACGACGTGAGCCTTGAACCATCGACAACTAGAGAGGGCAATGCTCCTGAATTCGTCACGAACGACACCGTCGTTCCTAATAGCTGCTTAAGACGAAACCCATTCCAACAGCACAACGTACTCGACGAGGCCAATGAGCACAGGGCTCCACTCGCCATGGTCACTTGCACTCGGCCAATCCTAAATGGGTCGAGGTCAGGCACGGGAATGCGAGAGGCATTTACGTCGGAAGGGACTCGAGCGCATTGCGCACTTGAGCGGCGACTGCATTGAATGGCAGCATCTTGGTGGTATAATCACGGAATGACAAAGCGATCGCTCCACCGTCTGCAGTGCAAACGATCTCTTGGACTTCATTTGCTTGGTTCAGAGTCCACGGGTCGTCCCCAGATGGACATGGAGCTAAAACACCCATCGGTGGAGGCGCCCGCAGCATCCCGCAACGGTTCCTTACTGCTGGAGCAGTCATACGCCGTATATCGAGGAGCTTCGCCGAAGAGCATCAATGTCTGCATCGAACTCAGTCAAATTGCTTGAACCGAAGGCAGAGACCTTGTCGCAATGGCAGCCTTGAATGGTGTCGGCGTCCCAGGTCGCCATCGCGTTGAAGCCTGTTCCGTAAACAAATCCCGCCGTCGCGACGCCGTTTGCCTCTTGCAGCGACGCGAGTTGACGAAGGGATTTGCACTTGCCCCGATGAGAGCATTGGTTTGGACACGCCACTGTGGATGGGATGAGCTATTGAGGTTCTCGTGACTAGAATGATTACGTCGTTCGCATGCCCGCCCTTCAAACAGCGAGTTGCACCGACACATGCCAATCGTGCGATCGCAGAGACCCTACCGCTACGCAGTCAGGAGCACAGCTAGCGTTCGGACCGACGGACCACGTTGGAGCACTCCACGAGGGTGTCGTGTGCGGTGTCCGGGACAGTCGGCGGGCTAAACCAGGCCCTCCCTTGAGGGCAACGTCGAAGGGAGCAGTCAAAGCCAGCCCATCCATCGTTGCAACTGCATTGGTAAGACGGAGCTCCAGAGCAAGACCCATGACCACTGCACTTGACCGTGCTTTGCGCCAACAAAAAGTCGTTGGTGTAGATCCCAGCTACGGTCTCTCGCTTGGCCCACGACAATTCGGAACAGTCGAACCTGGACAGACAGGGGTTGCCGTCGACGTTCGATACCCGCAGTCACCAACTGTGCCTTCACTCGCCAAACCTACAGCTCCCAACAATGTGACTTGACGGCCAATTTTAACACTTTGTACCGTTGCTTGATGTGTAAGTCGCTTCGCACGAGCAAACTCCGGTGGTGTGAATGCACTTGCCCCGCCCAGAACACTCGAGCGACTACACGACTAGCGTCACATACGTCGAAGGGTAGTGTCGACCCACTTGTTTGTTTGCCGACACGGTGGGGAACCTAGTGCCATATGCAGCTGCCGTGCCTCCTACACCATCATCCAATGAGGCTGACTTTCATGACAGCCACACCATGTTCGACCGTCAAAACCAAGTCATTGCTGGAAGTGGTGACAGTGAATGGAAGGACGACTCCATCGTAGTTGAGAAATGAAATCTTGGAAGACACGCCGGAGTTGCCGCAGACTGCGCTGCCTCCGTCCAGCACGACAGTCACCCCTGTAGTGATAGCGTTCAACGCTGCTTCAAGAGCTGCTGCGTTGTCCGTGGCAGCGATAGGAGCCGTGGTTTGGCCTATGCAATTATCCTCTTGAACAATTCTCTCTCTCCCAGCTATTCCACGTACTTCCCAGGGAAATGGTAAACACATCAGTGCATGTGGCACATGAGCAGGACACAGCTTGTACTTCCAGGCGAGTGGTGTGGGGATCGCCACCGAAAGGACAAGCGCGCTCAGAGCAGTCGTAGCCAGTATACCCGTTGTCACAAATGCACCCTGCAGATTGTGGTAAAGCACCAAAGCTAGCCAAAGGGAACGAACCGAAGATGCGTGTGGCATCCCATAAAGAATACGTCACTCCGTTGTTCAAGGCCGCCGCTTGCAGGGATTGACACTGGCCGTGGCCACTGCAATCGTTTGCACAAAGTTGGCGGTCGCAAGCGACTCCTCCAAACCCAGGTCGACACTTGCACTGCCCTGTTTCACGATTGCATATACCCTGCCTCTTGTCAGACGCGCCATCCAAACGAGCAGGATACCATGTTGCTACATTCTCGTCGGGTGGCGCGAGTGACGTCCGTGGCCGACGGCGTATCCACCCAGGGAAATGCTGTTGGGCATGTACGCCAGCTGCAGTCGGCCCCCGTCCATCCCGTTGCGCACATGCACCTACGTGACCATGAGGCTCGCGGCATTCGTGGCATCCATGAGGAGGGTAACCCTACTGGTTGCGTGGGGTGCAAGTTCCATGGCCATTGCAGTTTGTTGCTGCGGAAGGGTGAAGGAACGAAGGAGGATGTACGAATAGCATACTGTTGTAGCCGGGGCAGGCGCCATGGACCCCGAGTAGGCCCAAGAGGGCCGCCCACCATACTCGACGGGCCATCGAGCGATGTGAAACTGAAAAAAGCTCTTTACAGTTTCAATGCTTCATCCTTCCTAATGGAGAACTGGAATCTCCTTGATTCCAACACTCTCGTCCGTCTCGACGCCGCATAAGTCCTATCGAAGCATTGAGATCGCACGCAGGAAGAATCCGCTTCGAACCAATACGTCTTTGCGCTTCTTCTCCATGCCATCGGCAATTTGATCAATAGCATCCATGACGATGCGCTTACGCTTGACCCACTCCGTCTAGACAGCCCATTCCCAGCTTTATTGCTTGCCAAACGGAGCGTCGTACACAGTACCCGGTACTTTGTAAAGGATTTGGTCAGAGCTGCTTTGGCCCCTGGGTCGACCACGACAGATGGCCTCTTGTCCATTTCTTGCAGCTTTGCTTGAAGCGTCGCGTTCTAACAACACAAGTGCACTCATTCGCCGCGTGCGCATCTCAGCACCATACCTGTGCTTCCAGCGACTCGAGCGTGACGCTCAGCTCAGCGTCCGACAATTGCGAATTGAGGCCATGCAGGATGGCTTCGTGGTCTTTGAGCTCTTTTTCTAGCGAAGCGACTTCGTCTGACGCGGCCTGACTCGTACCCATTAGCTTGAGGCACATGCACGGTGAATAGCCCAACCGTTATTTGGTCTTCTATGTGGGCCAACGCCTCGGGCGATGGGCGGGGAAGTTTTGCCTACACTCGAATGTAAACAACATCGATTCACGCGATCCAGTACCTGGTTGTAGTAGTAAATCTGACTTTTCCCATACGTTTTGACATTGATTTCTCCCCTGCGAAAGAGTGTTAGAACATGTACACACGAAAAAGGCCACTGACTGCCCTACTTTTCCACCAGGACGTCCAAGATCTTCTGCAGCATCGTCTTCCCAATTCGCCGATGCAGATTTTCAAACACGTTGAGCACACTGTACGGACGATTCGTCTATCGAAATAGAATCGCGTGAGTAGAACGTGCATGGGTAGGTTGGTTTGGCACCTGACGCATGTACTTGGCAACTTCCTCGCTTGCTTGGGTCTGGTTTAAGATCTCTTTCGGCTTGTCATCCTTGCCGGCAGTCGAGTTCGCCATCTCCTTTGGTTTAATGTCCTTGGCTTTGGCTTCCTTGACTTTGCTCTCTACTTTCTTGGGTGACTCAACCTGTGCTTTCACCTTGGGTGTCGACTTTGGGGTTGCTTTTGGAGTCTTTTTCACTGGTTCGAGTTCACTATCCTCTGAGTCATACTCGTCACTCTCATCCTTTTTCAAGCGCTTCTTGGAAGCAGGAGTCCGCGTGACGTTTTTAATTGGAGGCGGTGGGGACGCCGGCTCAAAGTCCTCGTCGCTCTCGAGGTCGAAGTCGTCTTCCGAGATGCCGGACATCGCGCAATACTCCTTGGTGATCAACAATGGCGGGAATTTCGTCCTAAGTGCGAGACGTACTTTATTGACCCAGATGTATCTTGAAAGGTTGCACGTAACCATTCAACGAGGCAGTGTGGCATATCCGACCTTTCGCTGCAGAAGAAGCCCATCGTCCATTGTACAATTCGCATCATGAAGGCCGCAACAATCTTCGCGCTTGCTGCTATTGCCACGTTGGAGTGCCAGGCGTCCTCGTTCCGCGAACCTCGCATGCTCCTAGCCGCGGACTGCAACAAAGACTGCACCCCCGAGAGCGGCCTCTCATGGACGCTGTGCAAGCTTGGTCAAGCTGGCTCGTGCACCTGGCAAGGAGTTTCAAGCGCGGGTTCGTATGTGTACCACGGTGCTGCACGATTGGTCGGTGCTCATTCGGAGCCCGAACAATCAGCCGCTACGGTTGAAACACCCAGCAACACTACTGCTGCGCCCAAGGGTGCTGACGTTGCTGCTGCGCCTCCTTCGAGTGAAGACAAGGAGCACGACGAAGCTGCGCATGACGACGGACATCATCAAGACGAAAAGGAGCCTGCCCATGGAGACGACAAGGAGCCTGTCCACGAACACGAAATGGAGCCTGCTCAGGACGAACACCATGAAGGTGGCGACAAGCCTGCCGAAGACGACAACGACGGTCAATAATTTGACGGCCTGTGTTGTTGCCATCCTGGTTCAAGTGTCGTGCAGTATCGAGTAATAATTCTTGGAGTCCCATCACCAGAACTTGTTGGAATGTTTTGTAAGTTCAAGCGATTTCCCCGGGTAATTGTAATGCGGGAAATGCTGGAAAACGCCAAGTTGATCAAGCATGGAGCAAGAACAGAAAACTGGTTCGCCATTTTCATTCGCAACTGACTAAATTAGCCCCAGCGCTGCACGTAAAGACTTCCACGGCCCAGCGTTTGGCTTTACCCCGAAACCGGGCGTCCAAGTTCTGGAAAATGTTGCCATTACTCATCTAACAAGAATAGATGGAGATTTTGAATTCCAAATAGTAGCTACTAGAAATTATCCGGATGATTCGGTTCTTGCAGCGCGCCGCGGCTGTCAGAGCGAGGAAACCCTGGCATCCTCGTTTGGACGACATTGCGTTCACTGAGAAACTATGACGTCGTCAGGAACCATCGAACTCTCAAGCACGACGTGAGATACATAAGAGCAGCATCCTAGTTTTCAATGCCGCACAGTTGGATGAATGGAGTGAGCACAAAATTCTGCACTCCCGCAACTCCCAGCACCTGCACCCCGGGAACTCCTCGTGCGTCCCTCGTCGTATGGAACAAAACTAGCAAAATTCACCCGAACGATATGTTTACGGAGAGCCATGTCATGTCCACTCAAAGGTCGCCGTGAGGAGTACTAGCTGTGGTAGATACCAGGTCTCATTCCTCAAGTCAAGCCTCTCAAATGCACGTCGTTGAAATCGAGTATCCTCAACAGATTACCCAGCATTGGTCGACGTGGTGCTCTGCACGAGGACCTTTCCTTATGACCATGGTAAGAGTGGATGGCTGGACTACAGCATCTTGGGAGTTGACCAGATGGACCTCTTATGCCTTTCGTGGCTTCAGCATGGGCTGCACTGCACGACACTCAACTGGAGTAGTTGCAATGACCAGATTCAGTCGCATTACCGACGATAGATTGTTGCGATTTTGAACTGCGACTACGAGCTCTTGGCTCTGTTACATTCGTTTCTTTCCAACACATCTCCGACCGAGAACGCTCTCGCGCCATTGCCGTCTACGGCAAGTTTTCGGTGGACGCAAGAATCTGCTTCCTTGTCGCGGTCGTGGAGCCAAGCGGCACTGGCGAGAGCGCCGTCGTCAACTTCATCACAAATCCTCGCGGACCAACACGGCCAACTCGCCATTTAATAGTTCTCAAAGAGACTACGCGCCGCGCATCCATCCCTGGCATGCACTGCCTGAAATGGCGCCAGGCATCAACCCTAGGCAGTTCTATCATTCGTGCGTCCTCCAGAACACGAATCTACTTATCTTTGTGGGCCAAGACGGACGAATGCCGTCGTTGGCGAGAAACGTGGTCCTCCTCGCACAGAAGTAACCTTTCATCAACACGAAGACTGACCAGTCATGTGCCAATTTCCAACCACGACGTCGATGACTAGACATCCGAATCCGACCTGCATAACCGCTCGCGCTGAAATTCTGTCATCATCGTGTCCACTCTCGAGGTGTCACCAAGGACACATGAAGCTCTTCCTCTGTAACCACCACCTGAGCCGCAACTTGACTTTGTGGACCTACCGCAGCATCGAAGAGACTGCTTTGAACACCAGATTGCTGTGCCAGGTTGGCGGAACCACAGCTGACCTCGCCTTCAAGTTTGCCTTCAAAATAACAATGTCGTCTTGCAGCTGATGTCGCCGATCGTCTTCAGCACTTCTTCCGATCATTGCGAATTGAATACAACAGGATCGTGCCACGACCACCACAAGGCAAGGTCATTCAAGCTGCCACAGACTTCATTCGACTGACAAAGAGGTAAAAAATCGCAGTCTTGTTGCGTTCAGGATATTGGTACAGGGTAAATGTGCACGTTATGAATTGCACAGATTCTGCGATGGAAACGTCATTGCCAAGATGGTGTGCCATAGAAACCATACGCAGTGCCTCCAACCGTGGAAAAAGGCTCTGCTGCCGGGCTGCGCCGCGGGTCGCCGGATGAAGATCATCTGCAGTGGGAAGATGGCAAGCTAAACTGTCCTGCAGTCCCTGGACAACGTAAGCGTCGCAACGAAACGCCATCATCATCTCAAGTGGTGGTTGGCATGAGCCACACCAACCTCGAAACACCGAAACCTCGAAACCCCGCCATTCCGATTGACTTTTCTGGACAACATAAAATTATCCAAAGAACAATGTTATCGACCCACGAGGAAAGGGTCGAGGAAGGAGCCCTTGCGGACGATTCCGAGCGAGCAGGTGTGTGGTGGCGAGGCGTTATTGCATCTTACATATAATTTAGACGTCTCCAGACAGAATGCAAAGAAGCCGATGAAAGGTAGGAGGATCCTGTTTTCCCGCGAGTGAGCAGATTTTTGACAGGTGCATTCCGCAAGTTCTGGCAAGGAATGCTTACCCAGAAGTACCTTCAACACGATAACCAACCAGTATCGCGACGATAGACTTGTGAAGAAGTGATCGGCGATCTAGGCTCAAGTCCTGCCTGGCTTGTTCGTCGGCTCGGTCGGAGCAGGAGCTAACTTGGACGCGTTGTGTGCACTGGTACCATCGACTTCTTGCTTGATCGAGAAACAATCCCATGTAGAGCATCACGCACATCTTGGTTGCGTCGGAAACTGTCGCGTTTACGTTCGAGTCCCATGGACGCTTCGAGTACTATCGCGTGAGCATCCGTGACGTCTCGTCAGCTCGAATCAGCTACTTCTTTGAAGAGTCGAATGCCTTCATTACTGGGTAGTCTACACTTCGAGACATGCGCAATTGCCTTGACAATGCCGCAGTGGACTCAAAGATGGTGGCAAGGTCTTGGTCCATTGTTTTGCAGGCCAGTCAAGATCCGTCACCCTCGTGATGGGTACGTTTTCGTGAGGACGACGAAGACCGATGTGTTCTGTAGCGTACCTCATTGCAGGTCGACACATGTCGTTTGAGGCAGCTCTCGAACTCGTCCGACAAGTCAGACCGCAGGCACGACCAAATCATGGGTAGCCATTGCAACTTTTGGCATCGATGGATCCATCTTCTTGTCGTCAGGTTTGCAGTCCAACTCAAGGCCTATGCGAGACAGCACGCTGCGGCAATACCACACGATTGTGTGTAATCGAAACCCCAGACACCCACGAATGCATCATGTTTGATGGAGCCCCATCTCAAAGGAAAACATCGCTAAATTTCCTCACGCCCTCACGGCGATTCCAGCATGACTGTTGCAATTGCTCGGTTGACGGCGACCCGCAGTGTCATCCATCTCGCTCGTTGCATACTTGCTGGCACGTGCGGGGACTTATCTCGAGTCAGTTGTGGAGCGCCGCGTGACTGGGGCTTCTGGTGCATTCTTTCCGTAACACGATACTAGTTTGACTTTGTAGTGACCATCATGACGGAATCGCTTCCATTTGGGGACGTCGTGATCGAGATCAAGGACTGGGACGCCTGTCACAGCATGCACTCGGGTCTTGGAGTCCAGATCCAGCCGCCCCACTTCTCGCTCAGGTCGAGTCTGGCTGTCAGTGGCGAGCAACCATCCATTCCACCTTCTAACGACGCTCGCCAACAATACGTTCTCGGTCTCGTTTGACAGAGACCCAACTGGTTCAGTCAGCGCCTGCTACGCCGTTCCGCGTTCCTGGCCATTCGTTTGGACGAACATGGAGAAAAAGAAATGGTGTCCACCGCACACAATGACGATCACGACTATCGCGGCATCCCCGCTGTTCTCCTCGAGTATTCCAGCACGAAATCTAGCCATTATTAGAGCATTGTGGGAGATGATCCCATGTCTTCGCCTTGGAGCTTTACTTTGTCCTTGGAGCAAACACAAGGAGCTGTGTACATGGAATCGAAGGTGCGGAATGCCGACTGGGATGTTTTGAGGGGTTGTTGGGGCGATGAGCTTCGAATGGGCGTGCTATCACATAGAGACTTTTCTCGCTACGTGGGTCGCATCAAATGCTAACAACGCCCCAGTCGCGATTGAAGCCGAAGGAGCGTGTTGGCATTTCCACAACGTGATGACGAAGTAGACGCAGTGGCAAAACGTCGAGTCCCTCGGGATCTTGAGGCTTCTCCGTTCCCAAGTTCGCTCGGGTTTGCCTTCCCTTTGGGTCGCAAGAGCGCCAACTCAACACTCAAACGTCGGTCAACCTCTACGGTGCTTTGCCCTCAACTTTCTCGTCGGCCTCAATGGGTCCTCCCCTGATGTCGACACCAGCTTGATCCGGTCCAGCAACTCAGGCCAAGATTGGCTCTACTCAAGAACACTGTCGGGCCGTTTGGGTCCATCGACATGGGCTGCTCCATGAGCGGCTGACCAATATTCTCACTGCAATCTGTCAAATTCAGCGCACTTTCAGGTCGGTATGTACGCCTCCAACGACGTCTTTTCGGCCATAATATAGGAGTACCCGTGCGAGTACTCGACGTCGAACAGCGTTCTGGTGTGGGTAAACGCTGCCGAGTGTTGTTCGATGCCTGGTCGAGCACGTTCTGCTCCGATGGAAGGCACTTCCTCTCGCCGACAGACGCACATCATTCCTTCTTTATTCAATGGCTGCATACCAGCTCTGCAGCACGGCGTGGTCGCTCAACGATGTCCACAACTCGGACAAGCCGTTGGCGGTGCACAACACCGCCAAGATTTCTTGACTGTGGAGTCTCTGGCATCATTTGCATCACGGACATTAAAGCGAGGAGAGTGTATGGCATCTATCGCCATAGTCTAGCTCTTAATGAGCTCGTCGTTCCCGCCACATTCTTCTCGTACTGCCGCACGTTGACGGAGCGGAGGCTGCATGTGCTGTTGGTGGAATGTGCTGTCGATGACTGCACGAGGGTGGAGCTAGGTCGTAATCTCCCAATCGGAATGCGTTATTTATTCGATTAACGTTTTGATTGGCTGAAAGACTCAAGGAATCCCTGCACCTTCATCACTTCCGTTCTTGCCGTTGCCATGGCGAGCGAGAAGGGTTCGTCCGCTCTGTCATATTGGACCCAAGGAGTCCGGTCTCTGGGGAGCTTGGTCAAGGACAAGACTACGGCGACAGTGCGCATGGTGAGCGGCACGACCATCCCCCTTGAAGCAGAACACCGAAAAGGAGAGAGTTTCCTTCGCACGACCACGGACATCCGCGACGTTGTCGATCGAGGTGATATTCTCACTCTTCCAAACGGACGCAGCTTCATCGTAAGCCCAAATCCGCACGATATGTTCACGGCGACGGTCGTGTCGCTCAAGACGCCGCGTGGCGTGAATGCTGGCGTGAACGACACGGACACATGCACGATGACCTCAGTCAAGCGGAACACTCCTTTGAATATGCCCAGGGTATCCGTACCGACGAGTATGGACGATGTATACAGCGCCGCGGGGTCTGTTGGAAAGGGTATCGTTGGAATGGTCGGTCTCGGGGTCCAGGCGGCATCGGACCTCGCTGCCTCTGCCAAATCGTACGAAGAACGCGTGCGTGTGTACGAAACACCGATCGGAACGTTAGTTCAAGAGGCAAAGAAGGGGGCGAAAGGTAGTTGTGCTGTCCTGCTTTTTTGTAGGGCCCTGATGGGAATGACGACGTTAGAACTTCGATTGACGGAGGCAGCAGTCACAGGAACATTGGAAGAAGTGTTATACGGGCTCCACGAGGTTCCCGGCTGCGTTGTGACGCTGCACCACGACTCGAGCTACGCAGAAACGTCCACGTCGTTGGTGGACGTTCTCAATCGAGGCGATGCCATCGTGAGTTGGCTCTGGTCGAACCGCTGCCTCGAAACCTCATGCGTTTCTTGCAGATGATTGACGGCGAAGCGTTTAAAGTGTCGAACAATCCAGCCAAGCGATTCCATGCGACTCAACTACCGCTGAACCACCCTCGGACCAAGACAAGCTCGGTGTGGACCTTCCAACCATCGGAACCTGATGGGATGGAACTAGGCCGAAGCGCGCCCCATCTACCGCGCCAATGACACGGAAGTCTGCATTCGAGTATGACCATCCATCCACGTTAGATTCGCAGTTGAACCCCCCTGTAGGTCCCCAACTGCATGGTGTCGCTGGACCAGCACACGACGCAGGTCAAGTTCCTCATGACCTCGCCCACGTTGCCGCCTGGCACAGACGTGATCATCGGTGGAGAGCGCTACCAGATCGCTCACAGTCCATCGGTGGTCTCGCCATCTCGCCAAGGCGACTCGGTTGAGAACGTCCCGATATATGTTCCCCAGACGCCGGTCGTTGTGGACGAATGCCTGGTGACCCTCAAGAACGGCGACGCTGTAGTGGACACGTCCAAGAGTTTGCTGGCGCTGGTCAGTCGCGGCGACTTTGTGGTACGAGATGCACTCGTTTGTGAAACGATACCCACCAGCGATAGAAAATCGACTCGACCGTGCATCAAATCTCGAGCAATCCACTCAAACGCCTGACAGCGTCAAGTTTGCCGCTCGACAAAGCCAACACTGGCCCCGACGTCGTCAACGGTGCGATTCCGTTTTGAATGGTGTCGTTGACGTTTAAATGCTGCAGGGCGCATCTCACTGTACCAAGATGGAGCGCGGATTCTCAAAGCAGGCGACACCATCAAACTCGGATCGCAAACATACGCTATCTCAGACGACCACGACGCTGTAGGTCGAATCTCAAAGGTTGCAATCGTTTTAAGTGACGTTTTCTGGGCAGGAAAACAACCGAGTGCTGCCGCTTGCGTCCAAGCTGGAACAAGACTGTCCTGGTTTGGCGGCACGATTCCACGGAGCGTGAGACTCACACGTGTGTAGCCGGGACTGTCGTTTTCTACGTTGGAAATCGATACGTCAAGGCGACAGAAAAGGCGGCGGCCGCTGCGCATCGAGCCGGAGCGTACAAGGTCTTGGACAACGCAGCTCATTCAATGGGCTCATGGATGTCTTTGGCAGGTTCCCGTCGGCCGCTTCGTCTGCCTCGTGAAAGGATCAAACGTGTTGTTCACAGACGGAGATCTGCGCGGTCAGCTGAAGAAAGGCGACCAGGTGGGAGGAGCATATCGGCCTTGGGTCCATTGACGCAATTTTCTTTAGATCGTTGTTGCGAATCAGTCGTTCGTTGTGAGTCCAAACCCAACGGATTTGTACGCGCGCGACTGCATCGCCCTCGATCGACGGTACCAAGCAAGGCGTGGCGTGAATTGAGCGTCGTGGCTGGATGTAGATACGAAGGACCATCTCTTCGCTTGGCCGACACGGATCTTGGTCACGTGGTCGCTTTCGAGCGAGGGTCGACCGAGTGCAAAGTGGACCGAGACATGACGGATAAAGTGCACCGTGGCGATGTGTTGGTACAAATTGTCGCCAAGATGGTTTGTCGAGTCATGCATGGAATGGTGGCAGGTCATTTGCGGCGAAGAATACATGCTGGCAGACGTGTCGCCGTTCTCTTTGAAGACGACGGCAGCGCGTGCGAAGGAGTCTGCATACGCGACGCCGACGGTCGTTCCCGACTGTTTGGTGTCGCTGGCACAAGGTCCCCCAGACGGCAAATGGCTAGTTTGTCACGTGGAGCACATTGTAGGTAGCAAGTATGCCGAGACATCGTCGAATGTGTCGCACCGCATCAAGCGCGGAGATCGCGTCGTCATTGGGAACGAGATCTACCGCGTGTCGACGAATGTGTTTTACCGGTTCACGGCCGACCACGTACCGTTGGACACGGAGCGCGTTGGCGAGAGCGTCGAAATGGACGACCTTCAGGTGAGTAAAGGCTTCATCGATTCAACTCAAGTGAGACCAGGTGGCGGCCTACGACGGTGACCGCTCGATCCGCTCTGCCTCATGTACGTTTTCTTGATTGCTGTGGTTGGGCATGCAACCTGACATGGCTGTGTGCGATTCAGTGGATTTTTCGATTTACAAACTCGGCGACCGCGTCGCCGATATCAAAGACGACCTTCAGAAGCGAGATTTATTGACAAAGACTCAAAAAACGACCGACGCGATCGGAGAAAAGATGCGGCCGGGAGCGGAAAAGGTCGTGGCGTCGGCCGCAATGGCGTCCGAAAAGATCAAAGATGCGGCCGGCATGGCGTATGCCAAGGCTTTTGGTGCGACTGTGCTCAAGTAACTAGACAACGAGTCCCACGACCGCGGTGTGGGGCGCGCTGCTGACCTCCTTGCGCTTCTTGGGACGTGGGCCAGGCTTGTTTTTGCCCGTCCTAGGTCGTATATCGTGATGAAAACGTATTGCGCTGGCACAGTCGTACCCATCTGAAGCTATACTCGCCTGGGCCGCTTCGCGATGTCGAATAATCTCGAGGACCGCCGCGGGTGCGCTCATCGTGTGGTCGGGGGTCAGGTCGACTGGAGACGGGGGCACGATGGGGGCACTTCTGTCACGTGAACCAGAGATATGAATGGATCGAATGCCGACATCACGAGGTGGGGCAGTACCTCGAGAACGAGTAGAGCATCTTGTGCTTTCGCACAAAGTACTGGTCATGGATGCATTCCCAAACGTTTCGGTTGAGGGCGGCAAAGACAGCGAGGCCGTGCGCACAGGGCAAGTGGAATTGCTGCCAGTCGCCGCACGTGCACGTGTTGTCTCGGACGTTTACGATCTTGTACGCCTTGTGGTGGGCATTTGAAGTCGTCGCGACATGGGCAAAGTACACTTCTTGGGGCCGGCATTCGACAATTTCGAACCGAGCGCTTTCGGACAAGCGTTGGTTGAGCACGGTTTGCTGGTACGGCAAGAGAATCATGTCGCTGTGGAGTGCGATCGCATTAAACCGACTGACTGCCGCGCGTTGGAGCGATAGGAGGACGAGGTAGAAGCACGGGACGAGGTTGCAGCTGCACAGGAGGCTGCCCAAGGTCGACTTGACAAAGTCCCCGACGCAATGGCGCAGAGAAATATCTCGATGCGTCGGCCACCCTCGCTCGATCATGGCAGCCACGACCCAGTGCTCCTTGGGGATGCCTTCCAAGCACCGACACAAATCTATCCAAGAGGAAGCGAGGTCCATTCACCTTCGTGAGTTGGGAGGACTACCTTTGTTGAGCGACCACAGCATCGAGAACGACTCCATGTATCGATCCTAATCCCACATGAGATCTCTGTCGATGGCACGGGGGTGTACCATGTTGATGCTGTTGGCCATCTGCAGCACGAGATGCTCTTCTTCCGGCGTGAGGCGCGCTTGGCCACTCATTTGGCACACCATCTGAAGCAGCTGCAAAATCGCGTATCGGTGCGGTTGGTATGGAAAAACTTGGAGCAGAGCTTGCGATATAGCTACCCAGCCGACACATCATGGCGCTTCAAATGTTGCATATGGGAGTACCCATCGAGCCATCGGTGAGGAAGGTCGTGTGCTTGGAGAGGGGAACGCTGTTGTCTTTGAGATGCTGGAGGAACCACGCCCAGTTGACGTCGTCGGTGGCAGGGACGTGGGCCAGTGCGAGGTAGATGGGGTCGTTATTGTAGTCGCGGGTGCTGGCAACGAGGAGGTGCCCCACCTTGTTCATGTCCTGCGGCACGTGTCCAGGACGAATCATCCACTCGTGGGACATCTTACCGAGTTCATGGGAGCCGCTTCGAGGACGATGAGGGGCGCAGCGTCGGGCAGCATGCGGAAAGCAGGGCCAACACCAAGCAAGCACCGTCCGTACTCGAATGCGCCGCCTTCGCTCCACACATTCAACAAGCTGCACGGACAGGGACGAAGGATTGAAGGCTGTACCTGACGTGGCGTTTGGAATGTGGTCGATGATGTAGAATGAGCCAGGATTCGTCGCGACGCACTTCTCCAAGTACGGCCGCAGGAGCTGGTAGCTCGAAATGGACGGCTCATAAAACATATCGACAAACTTCTTCTTGGCCCGCGACGCCATCGACGTCGAGATGGTCGCGCCGTACTGTTGGTACAGCATCGACTGAATGTACTTGAGCCGCATCTCCTCGGGATCCTTGGACATCACGTCCTGGCCGGTCTCCGAGTCGAAGATGCTCGCGAGGACGAGTTCAATCGACAGCGTCGTGTTACGCGCCACTTTTTCCGCCGGTTTCGGGCCATCTTCGTCGTTCGAAGCGTCGGTGGCCGCGGGGGCTGATGGGTACAGCGGGTGATTCAGCGAGTGGTTGTGCATAAGCTCGATGTCCGTGACGTGCACCTTGTTGTCCTTGTTGCGGTATCCACTGATCAAGAACGGGCAGTCTACGATGGCATGGTTGAACTGAGCCAGAACAACGACATGCGACCTTTCACGCGACACTCCCAACGCTTATTGCGCTTGGACGAGTACTTGACGCGCACTTCGAAGCCCGACAGCATCGCGAGGCGCTTAAGCGCGAACGCGAGGAGCTTGAAGTCCCCAAACGTGGCACGGTTGTGGCTCACATTCAACCGAATCAACGGCGTGAATGTTTCTTGATCGGCATTGGGATTCCCTGCAACGGACGAGTCAGTCTCGACTATCGGCGACCGCGACGTACCTGAGGTCGCATTGTCAGGAACTGGGGGAATCATCGGCATCGAGATGCCTGCTGCTGCACTTCGTGCGAGGAAGTCAGTCACGGTGTTCGCGTGAATGAGGTGCAGTTGCACTGCACGCTGCAGCATGTCGTGAAGCGCAACAGGTGGCCGCATCTGCGCGTCTGGAAGCGCATAGCGCACGTCCGAGGATGGAGCGGGCTTGTCGTCGTGCTCGTCGTCGTCGTGCGCCTCGTCGTCGTGAATGTGGTCATCGCCGTCGGGTTGGGAAGGGTCCATCTTGTACTTGAATTGGCGAATTCCTCAATTGCCCAAACCAAGTAGCACCAGCGGAGTCTTTTCCGGATAACTTGAACATATCCGGAAGTGGTTGGTTTTTCCGGATACGACATCAATGAGTTGCGGAACTTCGGTGCGGAGGCATCATGGAGGAGCGTTCCGACAAGCCCGTGGAGGCCCTGCCGCCGGGTCTCGAGAAGCGCATTGCGTGGGATGACCTGGACAAGACCAAGTATTATATCGTTGGCCCCAGCGTCATGGTGTTTGTGCGGGCAGCGGTGTATCCCAGCAACTTGGTCAAAACTCGTCTCCAAATTCAAAGTCGCCGCCATCCTTTGTACACGGGCACATTTGACGCATTCCGAAAGATCGTGCGGCAGGAAGGATTCCTTGGTTTGTACAAAGGTTTTGGGGCGAGTCTTCTGAACATTGTCATTGGAAACCTCTATATCACGGTGTACGAGATCGTCAACCAGTTTGCCATGCAAAGCCTGACGGTGCAACCCTCTGTCAGCCCACGACTCCACTCACACGATCTCGGTGGTAGTCAAACCCAAGCATGGCCAATTTCATATCTGGCGCGACTGCGTCCGTGATCAACCAAACCGTGATTGTACCACTCGACATAGTCTCTCAACGCATGATGATTGATGGCCAAGGTCCGTTCATCCACACTGCATCGCCTGCATCTGATGTATAAGGTAGGGGTACAGGCTGCCTCGAAGGCGAAGACACTCGGTCTGCTCAGCATCTCTCGAGATATCTTCAGGAAGCAGGGAATCCTGGGGTTCTACAAGGGCTATATCCCCTCTGTGCTGACCTACGCCCCATCATCCGGCATTTGGTGGGGCTTCTACGGCGCCGTCTGGCCTGTGTTTTACGCCAACATCCCATTTGACATGGAGCCCATGCCCAAGCAGAGTACGTCGTTCTCCATGCAGACACCGTTGACTCATAACTCGAGGTAGTCGTGGCACAAGCCATTGGCGGTGGCTCTGCAGGCGTCTTCACTGCCATCTTGACCAACCCCATGGACGTCATTCGAACGCGAACACAAATTTACACTCAATATGGTGCTATCGATACGTTTCGGCATCTCATTCGCAAGGAAGGCGCGGCGGGCCTGATGTCGGGGGCATTTGCGGTACTCTGCTGAGGTGTTCAAGCGATTTTCTGACGTATCTTGTAGCGAGTGCTGTCGATGGGCCCGTCCGGCGTGCTCATCATTTCAGCGTATGAACTAGTCAAGAGGTTGTCGAGGAAAACGGAGTCTGTTAGTTAATCTAGTTACTTCGTTCGCCTCTGGCCGACGTGTGTCTCTTGCTCGCAAAGTGCTCCCTCGATTTCTAGCGCGTTCGAGTGCGCGCCCCCTTCAGCTTTGTCATGAGCACTTGGAGCGCGTCGCAGTTGTGGTGCCTGGCGTGGCGTTGGGCAAAGGACTTGCCTCCTTTGTAGAGCACCACCAACCGATTCGTACAGTCGATCGTGCGATGTTTCGTGCAACGATTTTTGTGTCAACACCACATCCAAATGGACACACCCCCAACTCGCGTTTGCAGTAACACTCAGCTGCCAACAAATCTCGCAGCTGTGAAACTTCACACGTGGTGACGTGTGCTTGTTGCTCGCCCGCCTTGATCACGTGGCTGCAGAAGGGGTTGCTGATATGCCGTGGTTAGATTTGACACGAAGAACTTGCGGTGATACGATACCTGCAGGTCGTTGTGCGATGGGGGCAGTCGACTTTGTGGTGTCGCTCGATAAACTTGATGGCCACTGGCGCGACGTGATTCGTGTACGCGATGCGGAATGGGTAGATTGCATACCGCCATGGCCACATTCGAGACTGCGCTTGGCTGTCCCATAGCGCGAGTGGTGTTTGTGGGCCAGGAAATCCCTCCGTGCCATGATATTGCACAAGTTTCACAGCCGGTACGACGCCATAAGAGGGTCGCCAAGCATTTGCTGGCTTTGGCTTCACGTACAAAAAATCCAATGGCATCGCTGGAACCTTCTCAGCAACGATAGACTGCGCGTCAAGACGTACCAGTCGAGACCGAATATGTGAGACGATTCGAGGGAGTGAAATTCGTCGCTCGTTTCGATCTAGCCCCGTAAGTCTACCCATGTGGCCAGCTTTTCATCGATCCTCTTCCGTTCCTTCTTGGTTTGACGCCGTCCGTAGGTGCGACCCATTTTCAGCAGTTGTACTTCATTCAGTCTGTTCACGCTGCAGTGGAAACTGCACCTTGCTTCGCTTGGTGGCAGTACTGCATACAAGAATGCCGGGCCATTGGTTTCCCCAATTTCCCTCCTTTGGAAGCGAGATGTACATGCCAATAATGTTTACTACCGAGGTGAAACATTGTCCTGCAGGCGCAGCAAA